GAAAATGGAAACTACTATAGTAAAACAAGGTGTATATATTGGGGTTATATTTTGGGATAATGGAAAATAAAATGGAAACTACTAGGAAAGCTTCTGTCACCTTGGCATTCTTGGGCCTCCTGGGGGCACAGATTAGCCGCACAAAGGCGCAGCAGACACATTCTGTCTTTGTCAAGTCACTTGTATGGAGCTCAAGATATTGAAGCACCGCGGAGAAAACGGCAATGTATCTAGCCCCTAGGCTGATGCAAGTCAGCCACGAAGGGCTTGATTCTCTCGAAAGTTACGTTGCACTTCATTATCCCCATATCCTCCCCGAAACCCTAAACCCTAAATCCTAAATCCTAGACCCTAAACCCTAAACCCTAAATCCTAAGACCTAAATCCTAGACCCTTGAGGCTTGCCTGCTGTGTTGCACAGAAGTTCTGCTTCACAAGGATGGTACTTAGGGAATCTCATGCAAGTTTTTGGGTGCTACTCCCACTTCCAATCCTATACTAATATTGTTGATACTAAAAATCCTGCATGACCTTGTTATACTATAGCACCAGAATTCCCAAGGTAGAAGGTAAAAAGGGTCATGCAGGATTTTCCTATCCACCTTAGTAGCAATAATAGTAATAGTAAAATAGTACTAATCATATTGGTGAAAACAGTGATAGTTTTAATTCTCATAGTAAAAACAGTAGCAGTAATACCCGTAACAGTAATGCCCTGTCTTTTCAAGGTCGAGGCAAAGCTGATGACCCTGTTGCAATGCATGGGTCCGAACCTGAGCTGTGCATTGCCGTGGGCTTGTTGTAGGAGGGGCCAGAAGGTGCCGATGTTCTTGAATAAGAGCCGTTTGAAGAAATGTCTGCCTGCATACATACTATGCTAGAAGAAGACCACAGGCTAGAAATTATGATAATACAAAACAGGGTGTTAGGTGCAAGAGCATTATGAAAGCTTGACGGGCCTTGCGGCCCAGAGCAGGCCTTGAGCAAGCCCAGAGTATTTAGCGCGTCTCTCTTTCGGATATTCACCCACTAGCTTCTGGTAGACAACATGTTGAAAAGGTGCAGAAACGTAGAGGGTGTTACTTATTTTGGGTTTAATATGACGTTTGCAGCCACAACAAGCCCAGTAGCGAACCTCGGCTACGGTCTCCTGTTTTATACCTTCATGGATTTCGGCACATGTCCTCAGCTCCAACGAGCGCATGTGTCTCATCATCATGCGGTTATATGGCACCTTTGACCTCCAGTCTACAAAACCATCGTAGGGGCATGCGTGCAAGAGCGAAGTTGTCTACCATGATTCCTCCCTTCACTGAAGCTGACACCCATTCCGAGAACAATGGAGCTCTCCGGTGTTCGGTCAGTTTGAGGACATTCCTCGCCGGGTGCCCAGCATTTGAACTTGTTAAAATCGTTGGAGAGCGTTTGTGTGAGCGGGAGCCTTGAATCTGAGGCACTCGGTGGCTTCTTTCCTTTGCTTTACCATACGAGATGGAATTTGAGGTGCTTGTCTCTGCCAGCCTGCATTGTTTCATGTTGAGCTGCAGCGACTTGATGACGCGCGAGAGACGCCCACAGCCGCCTGCCTGGGTTTGAACACAATTGGTAGTTTCCCAAAATAGGGGGACCCCAATATAGACCCTAATATACTATAGGCCTTACTATAGGGGCCCCCAAAAGGGTACCTGCAGTACCCCTAATTTTGGGAAACCCCCAATTGGGGTCCTAAAGTTTTTGTGTTGGAGCCTGGCTGTGCACAGGACTGTCAGAGTGATGAGAAGAACCTCCGCTGCTTTCCCTTTGAGACACTCCTCAATCAGCCGGAACCACAGTTGGTCCCTCTTCTTGTGTTTGAACATCCAGCCTGTTCACGGAGACACATTGGTGGTTGTCAAAATTATGGTCGCTTTTTGGGTACCCTACATATCAGGTCCCGTATTATAGTAGGGATCCAACAAGGGACCATGATTTTTTACAACCACCCACATGAATTTGGTTCAAAATCAGGGGGTTTTTATGAAACTGACCGAGGCTGGCTACGCGCTTACGCCAAACAAACACAAGCGCTGTCATCATGGCTGGAATCCCAGAAGCTCGCATGTGAGCTATAGTCTAAACTCCTTAAAGGGGGTTATGTAAACTGCTTACATGGGGCTATATAGGGGGTTTTATAGGGTCTAGGGTTTACGATTTAGGGTTTAGGGTCTTAAATTTTTCAAGGGGGGTTATATAGGAGATTATATAGGGGAGTATTATAGGGGTTTTTAAGCGGGATACTAGGAGTTTAGACGATAGCTCATGTGGATTGATACGGATAATATAATATTCCTAGCAGCTACCATCCCTGTAATCTAAATGACCACAATCGTAGTAATAAGAATAGCAACACTATTGATGATAAGACAAAAAACAGCAGTCAATGCGCCCCTGTCGTGCTGGCCTTAGTACTGGGCATTCTCCATTACAGGGATGTACAGTGCAATGTAAAGCGATGTGGAGTAACGTTTCATCCTCCAGGCCATTCTGTGGTATATTATGGCACATTAAAGTGTATTATGGTATATCATATATTATAGTATAGTATGGTATATGATATGAAATTATGATATATATATATATATTCTAGCATATTTTCTCATATTTTCATGAATGTTGCACCGTTTTCGTTAAGTAGGTGACCAGCCGAAGCTGGAAGTAGAATGGATGCAAGCCTGTGAAGCTTGTACTTGGTTTGCGAGTCGGCCGCCCTACTTGAATCCATCATCCTCTCGAAATGGTGGGTTGTGTAGAGGTGACTCGATGCGATGGGAGGTTGCAGCAGACAAAATTTCGGGGTTGGTTTCTTTCTATGCCACCTTCCCCAGGTTGTGATTCTGCAAAAGGGCACCCTGTTTAACACAAGAACCTTGCTTCTGAATTGGAGCAGGTCGGGACACAAGCGCTGAAGCCAGACCCCTCGAACAATCCAAACCCAGCCGAGAGCTCAGCTGGTTTCTCCAGAGCACTAGAACAAGTGCGGCAGTGGCATTTGCTGTATATGGGTGGTTGTCAAAATTATGGTCCCTTTTTGGGTACCCTAAATATTAGGTGCCGTATTATGATAGGGATCCAAAAAGGGACCCTAATTTTTGACAACCACCCATATGACAACTTGTCCACGAGGTGCAAGACTATGGCACTGAGACCAAACCTGCGCAGGGGACCAAGCAACCGGCTGCAGCTGCTACTATGCTGGGGTGGGGGGTTATAGGGGGGTTGCAGGGGGGTTATAGGGGGTTATAGGGGTTTAGGGTTTAGGGTTTCGGGTTTAGGCTTCCAGGGTTTCGGGTTAAGGGTTTCCAGTTTAGGTCAGGGTTTAGGGTTTAGGGTTTAAGGGTCTAAGGGTTTAGGGACTGTCTTCCCTGCTCCTGTGCTGAATGCATGATGGGCTTTGCAGAGGGGTTCAACTTCAACTTGTGTTCTGAAACCTGGCGTCAGAGGGCAGAGGACTACTTACTGGTTCTTGGTAGGAATAAGGGAACAGAATCCCTATATTATCCTCAGAAAATCCCTGTATATTCCTATTTTTCCTTACTAAGAACCAGCAAGACTAGAGGATTGCTCAGTCGGAGTCCCGGCCTCTTGACGGATCTGTCCTGACCACAAGATTCCTCTATCACACGCACACATGAGCTATACTCTAAACTCCTTGAAGGAGGGTTACATAAGGGGAGTATAGGGGTCGTGAAGGGGGTTTAGATTACGGCTCATATGATCGGATCCCACAAGACGGGGACCCCAATATAGACCCCACAGTACGGTAATGCTAATTATTGGGCCGCGAAGTTGGCGAATTCCCCTATTGTGATGAACCCTGTCTTGCAAGCATCAGAACACTGAAGCTTCAGGCTGCTCCATGGTTTGCTTGTAAAGCTGTGTTTGCTTGTTTAAACTATTATTTGGCCTCTTGAGAATGGAAACTGCTAGCTTGTGGTCTGGCTCTATTTCACTTGAAAATTGGAATGAGCTCCCATCCTGAACACCATCCCATAGGGTTCAGGGACCCAAACTTAAGTTTGTTCAGCTCTCATTGCTGACATTGTGATTGCTGCTGCTGCTGCTGCTGCTGCTGCTGTGACCAGTTGTACTTTTGTCATGAGATGGCTGCAAATAGGATCCATGATCCCAAACCCTGAACCCAATTGATAAAACCTAAACCCTAAACCTTAAACCCAAACCCTGAACCCAATTGATTGCAGGCAACAGCAGTTTGTCTTACAGAATGCCTACGAGAGCTACCTGCGGGCGCCCGGATGGAGAGTGAGAGAGCAGAAGTGCTGTGGAGTGCGTTTGGGATGTTGATCGTGACGCTTGGGGGCTTAGGGTTTAGGGTTTAGTGTTTTGGGGGGCCCCCATAAACAGATTCTAGTATGTTGGGGTCTATGTTGGGGTCCCCTAATTTTGGGAAACTACCATTTAGATTTTTAGACTTATTGGATCTTACTAAGGAATAAGGGAATACAAGCCATCATAGCCCCTAGAAAATTTACTCCCATATTCCCCAGTAAGAACCAGTAAGTTAAAAGGACTGGAGGGATTTTTTTTTAATAAAGGGGGGGGGGTATTACAGGCGCGGGCAGCGCAAGCTCAACATCATGGTCACATTGCCTCGGGTTTGAACTGCCATAGCTAAATACCCCCTCAGCAGTAGTTCGAACAAAAAAAGAGGTTGACTTTTCATGTGAGCCATAGTCTAAACTCCTTAAATGGGGTTATATAGGGGATTATATATGGGACTACTATAGGGGTTATTAAGGGAGATACTAGGAGTTTAGACTATGCTCATGTGAGCATCAGGTTAATTCTTATTGACTTATTGCTGCGGTTAATTTGAAGGTTTGAGGTGTTCAGGGTTTCCTCAATCAACAGCAGGACGAATTGCAGGTCAAGCCTTATGCCGGCGTTCTCAAACCATTGGGCTTGCGACAGAGGGCCTTGCTGTTTAAGGAAACCAAGAGGTCTTGTTATCAAGTCTAGAAAAGCCTTCATGTCGGTGTGGATTTACATTTTCTTCTTCTTCTTGTTCGGCATGGCCCCCACCTGTAGCATCATTGCATGATCATGTCCTGAAGCAGGTGAACGAGACCCACGGTAACCTCGATGGCTTTATCTTGGAAGAGCCGACATGTCTTGTGTTTTAAACGTTCTTTCCTTTCCTAGTCCCCTTGTCTTTCATCCTATGCATTGAGTCATTCCCGCGTTGCTTGCATTGATGTAAGAAACATTTTCAATGCTCTGGCCTCTACTGCGGCTTGCTCGGCTTCCTGCAGCCTGAACCAGTACAAATTCGCTATGGACTTCCTATTTGCTAGGTTAGGCCCCTTCCTGGTCTTGGGTCTCTAATAGCAAAGGCAAATTCCTTTTCAAAGCTGCAAGCATTTCTGGTGGCTTTTCTCGATGCTTGGGAGGGTCGGTGAACCTAGGTCCCTTTCCATGTGTCGCTTTGGGACCGTTCATCTCAAATTGTAGCATTCTTGTGACACATTGCAGGTCACAGAGAAATTGAACCGACGCAGCAACTGATGTTTGCCCTAGGCTGCAGACCCTGTAGTGTGCTTCGCCTGCCCGCAGAGCTGTTTGGGTCGAAAGCCCTCGATCCACGCTCCTTTCACTGAAACGCAAATTTCCCGCTTCCAGTTTCCATTGTGCATCAGCAAACAACCAGCTGTAGGACAGAAGCAGTCGTATTCTTACAGAGCACGAGCATGTGCTTCAGCTGTCTTGTGGCCTTGTGGTGAGCTTTTTTGGCCCGTTTGGGCTTATTTCCCTCCAGAAAATCATGGTGAGCTCTTCCATAATCGCGCTGCTGATCGTGGAGTCCCTGGCCTGGTCTTGAGTTCACGATGATTGTATCCCATTCAGAGTGGTTGGGGCTGGTTGGCAGGTCGAGCCCATTGAGATAGAAAGCATGAAGATATTGATGATGGTCATGTTGCTGCGGAAAATTATGATGGATGGCAACAGGCATGGTGATGTTTGAGAGCGAGTCTCCAAAATGTCATTTCCATTTAATTTTCCATTTGATTTTCCACTATTGTAGATTCCATTTTTCAATTCCTCTAAATCTGAAACCTCAAGTAGCTGTTTCATTCTTCCCTTCACCCTATATAACGTCAATAAATGCTGTATTTTGATAAGATAGTTTCAATTTTTTCCATACCCTACATTGCACCAATATCCCTCTGGGCTGCACTGCGCCCCTGTTCATGTCATGACATCAGTCGCCCAAGGACGATGAACTCCACGACCTCTATGGCCTTGATGCCCATCTTGCCATTCTATGCTCCGGGCTTAACAACCCAGAGTAAGGGTGGAACAATCTTCTGTACACTGCTGCGCTCGGGTGAGGGAAGGCACAGTGGCAGTGGCATACAAGCAGAAGCAGGAAGAGAGCAGGAGGAATCAGAGCAACAAGGACAGCGGCAGTAAGCCTCTTGCCCAGTGCAAAGTTGTTCAGCTCAGGTGCTGGAAATGGGAGCCGACGCGTTCGATATTGCCGCTTAGCTGGGCAGGGGTGGCAACCTTGAGTCCATGTTCCCACAGCCCTCCACTACCTGAGGCCTTGCAGGGCACGGCAGGGAAGCCCAGAAGGACGAGGGCGCATGTGTTGTTTGCTTTGGAGATACCTGTTGCTGCATTTGACGCTTCCTGTAGATTTAAGAATTTCAGCATGTACATGCCCCAGCGCAATCGTGCGCGTAGAGCCCTGACCACCCGACTGAAACATTTTCCTTATTTGTCATAAGACGATGATGCTTCAGGTGTACAACCTCACGCAGATGCTCTTCTCACCTGTGGTTGGCACGGTCTCGGATCGATTTGGTCGCAAGAGGAGGGGCTAGAAGACATCTTTTACATGTTGGGAAGTCCGCAGGCTTTACACAAAACCATGGGGCCGTAGTGGGGAAAGCACACCAGCGGGTGATGCACCATATGGATCAAGACCTCGTCTTGTCGGGCTACATTTCCCCAGGCAGCCGTGCTACAGTCTAAACTCCCTAAAGGGGCTTATTTGCGGATTACTTAAGGGGCTGCGCCCAGG